TCGCACGTAGCGCCGACCGCGCGCGTCGACCTCGTCGCCCGACGAGAGGTCGTCGCCGTGGCCCAGAAACCCGCCGGCGGACGCTCCGCGTCGAGATGGCCCTCTGGCGCGGCCGCGGCGGGCGCGGCCAGAGGGGGAGCTGCGCCGCCGCCGCCGTCAGCCGTGCCCTGCCCCCCGCGCACTCGGCGCGCGAGTGCGGGCCGGCCGGGCACCGGCTCGCCGACGGCCACCTCCTCGCCCGTCGGCAGGGGCCACGTCCCCGAGAGCAGGTGGAGAGGCGCCCGCGCACTCCTCCACGGCGGCCGTGTAGCCACGCTTGAGCATGCCGTTCTGGCTCGGGTAGACTCGGAAACGGTGCAACCTCCTCGAAAGCCAGCCGGGCTTCGTCGTCGGGCATGGGGTAGGTTATGATGATGTCGGCGTCGGGCCCGGTGGTCACGGCCCCCGCGTACTCGTCGAGGTCGGGGGCGAGGACGCGGGATGTGCCGGCGATCCTTGTCCGCGGAGCAAGGGTGCAGCAGCAGGCGCTCGTGGTCAACTCCGTCGCCTCGGTACTGCGCCCCAGTCATCTGCCTGGCCTTCAGATCACTCCACCACGCCCCGCCCTCCTCGAACATAAGCAAGGACATTTCGAGGCGCACGAGCACCGCCGGCCGCGCGGGCCGCGCGCCTCGGCGGCGGCCTCCTGGCGCGCTCCTGCACCCAAGCCGCCGCGCGCCAGAGCCTGCCGGCCAGGAGGTGCGCACCCGCCTGCCCCAGCACGCCTTTTTCGGCAGCCGGATGCTCCGGGCAGCTCGGGCAAAGCGGGCAGGCCGGCACCTCGGGGCAGTCAGGGCAAACCCGCTCCAGCGGCGCTGGGCAGATCGGGCCAGGTGGGGCCGCCGCCGAGACCGGCGCGGCGTGGGGCACCTCGCCCCAGGCAACCTCCAGTCCCCAGAGGCAGCCCGCTGCAGCCGCCACCAGCGCCGCCGGCGCTGGATGGGCCAGCCGCGCCCCAGGCGCGCCCGCCGGCCTGGGGAGAGCGGGCGGCATCCGCTCCCCGAAGCAGCAGACTTGAGAGAAGAAGGTTGTGGACGAACCCCCCGAAAATACGTCGATCTTCACGGGCCCCCAAAAGATAGCTACGTGCACGCGCCCCTCTATGCGTCGACGCCCCGGCCGGACAGCGGCGACCGCTTCTCGAGCGAGGAGGAGGAGATAACACTCTGTGGGGATGCTCGTCTTCCTGAGCACCGCATACCTTTACCCTGAGGTAGGAAAATGACACAAAACTAAACGGCATCTCCTTGTAAGATGCGACGAGCGTTGGCCGAGCAGGCCGCAATGGTCCTGGAACGGGCCCGAAGGGAGGGGCGCGCACGAGACGAATCCGGCAACCCACTTACATGGAGCAAGTTGAAAGTGGACAAGGTCAGATCTAGGGCACTGGCAATAGAACAAACAGCAGCACTGGACAGGGAGAGGGGGATGCCAAACAGCCAGGCACTAACATCACCAGTGGCCCAAGATTGGCGGAGATGGGACAAGAGGCACTCACGGCAGGTTGAAAAGCAGGGCAACGAAGATAACGACGAAGGGTGTCGCCTCCGAGTGCACAGCAATCGCAGAGACAACTTTGGGTACCTGATCTACACCTGGACGTCGCATTGCAGCAATTGCACATAGTATTGAATACGGAGGCGAGGATGAATGGGGGGTAGAAGACGACCGACGATACACATACAGCTAACCAGGCGGTCTACCATATCATCAGTACATGCAAGGAAAAAGTGCTTCATGCGTGTGAGCATAGCACTACTGCTAGACTTGCCAGGCTTGTTCTGAATGTAATGTTCCAGGGCTTTGCTTTGCAGGCCATGGAGAAGGGGATGAGAGGGCATATCAGGGATCGCAGTGAGCTCCGCCCACACCTTCTCGAGGTATGAAAGAATAAATAATAAAGTTCTCGAATAGCGGCTGCTCCTTGTACGCTACCACCCGGCTATCCCCTCCAGAATCTCCTTCACCGCCCTCCGATCCCTGTCAAAGGCAGCGCACTTGCAGCAAACGCGGTTGGCCGAAGCCTTGCAGAAGAGAGCGAGGTGGCGAATCTGCCGCGAGAAGCCAAAGTCAGTCAAGTTATACATAGGGTGAAGAATAATCGCATTGTTCGGCCCACACGCCAGACGAGGAATAGCTATGGCTTCCGCGCGTAACAGCTCCTTGGTCGGAGGAAATACTTGGGCCACGTAGCCGCGTACTGAGAAGCAATAAATGTTATCGGCTTCGGTGTTCTGACAAAAAGATAAACTCAGCGTCTTGAGGTGTACGCTTCGCTTTCCCAGAGAGTCAATAGGCCCAATCCAAGACTTGCCTCGAGATCCCACTCCAAGAATCATGCCGACGTATTTCCCACAACCAGAGATCGTAAATGTATGAACCCGAAGCCCCCAGGCCTTGAACGTGGCTTTTACCGAGTCTAAGTCGAGCTTGCGGGGGATGATGATTTGGGTCTTGGCGGGGTACATAAGAAGTCCCGTGCTCTGTGACTGGTTCAGCAGGCCACGGACCACCTCGGGTAGAGGTTCGAAAATATTGACGGCCATCAACGCAAGGTCGTCAGCGCAGCCGTGCAGGGAGAGAGCGGGGTCACAATGGGAGCCCGAGAAACTACGTAGGTATCTCAGGAACGAATCGAAGCAAACCGCAAACAGAGTCCCCGACATTGGGCATCCTTGTTCGACACCCCGTTCCATCTGGAACGAACAGCCCGTCGCGCCTCTGAAGTTCACATACGTCGTGACATTCGCATAAGGAGTCATGATAGCGCGGCTGCCCCAATCAGGAACGCCAGTCTTCTCTAGCACATGCTGGATCCACTGAAAATGGAGACTGGGGAAAGCAGTTAATTTCAAAGCAGCAGGCTCCACACTCCCGCTCATACTCCATATCATTGAGAATGGCCATGGAGGAGTCTATGTCAATGATGTGCTCCAACCCTCGGCGCCCTGGGACAAAGCCCTCCCGGGCACCGCAGCGCGGGTGGGAGGGGGCCTGGGAGAGAAGGGGAGATGAGAGCGGAAACAATGAGCTTGTTGTCCGCGTCACTGAGGGTGAGAGGACGGGTAGAGGCAGGGTCCCGAGTTTGCCCTCGCTGGGAGGGGCCAGCGCCTCCTTTCGGGAGGAACGCCGCCGAGCCTTCGTCGAGGGACTCGTGGGCCATGCCACCAGAGATCGCGCGCTGATATCAGGGCCTCCAGCCTTCCAAGCACAATAACTAATACCGTCTGGTCCAAGGGCATATTCGCGAGACCGACGGAGTAATTCCTGAAATTGTTCTTCTGAAATTTCCCAGGACGTGCCGGAGCTAACAGTTTGGATGCACGGGTCGAGGAGCTTGAAATGTTCGGGGTCCACATACCTACGCTTGGCGATGTCGCCCGAATAATCAGCCAGCGCCTTAGCGGAGTCCTCAAGAGTACCGCAGGGGTTCCCATGGAGGGCCAGTGATGCTGCGCAGGAAGATCTTCCTGTCAAACGGGGCCCAGGCGACAGCAAGCTCGCGCAAGCGAGAAATGCGTTGGTCCTTCCTTTCAGGTTTCACCGATGAATCAGAAACAAGCAACTGCTCCTCCCTCTACAAAAAGACGAGCATGTAGGAAGAAAGCTCCTCCTGAAACTTCTGTTGGTCGTGCCACTGCATCACCGTGCAGTCGAAAAAAAAGGCCAGGTGCGGGCATGCCGCCGTCGCTCTTCTCGCAGTGGCACAGTCACTGCGGCGTGAGGCTCTAGAAAGCGCAAGCATCCAGGACATTTCCTCTTCGACGCTCTGAGGCCCTCGGAATTCATGGTGATTTTGACTCTGCGAGCCGCTTCATACATCACTTCCTTACAGTCAAGTGTTCTTTGAACGGGATCCAGGGCCAAATCGATGTGCTCAAGGGTGCTATCGATCTCGTTCCGAAAGATAGGCGAGCGAATCACCCATGTCGGAATAATCGGTCGACTGTTAGAGGGAGCGGGGGCAGAGAGAGCCAAGAACACGGCGACGTGGTCGCTGGGAAGCGAGCCCTGAAAAAGGTTGGAGACAACGCCACAGATGGGCTTGCAGTCCAGGAGAACCAGAGAGGGAGAAAAAACGTAAATCCGATCAATCCTTCCCACTGAAACAACTCTATCGTTCCTAATGGTTTTGCGAGTGCGGTTAGGCTGGAATATTTACGCATGCCCTTGGAACTGGCCCAGGAAATAGTTGAAGAGGTGAGGGGAGGTAGTGGTAGATTTGCCATCTCGAACTCTGAGCCGGCCTTCGCCACCAGCACCAAACTTGAAATCTCCTGCCAAGATAGTGGTAGCTTCTGCGTTGCCGAGGGCTGCACGGGCGGTAGCAAGCATCTGACGTTTCAGAGAGGTCTGAGACTCACTGGGGTCGAGGTGAATGTTGATGAGCTGAAGATTGCCTGCCAGCCCGGCAAGCCGTACTATGAGGATACGACCTGCAAACACTTCGGTCACCTGCAGACCTTGACACTGAGATTCAATCCTATCGTGCACCATGATGGCCACGCCTCCAGCGATTTCGGTAGCCAGGAACGAACCAAACATCTGGAACCTCGGGAACCGCCTCTGCAGCTCCTCTAGATCAGCTTCGTTGCCGTGGGTTTGGTGGATCATGACGATATCATGTTTTTTGTTCAACAAGCGTTTGAAGTAACCAAAAGTACGGGATTGCATCTCGGCGGAGGCCCAAATACTTCCGAACAAAGTGCTGGCATTCCACGTCGTAACTTTGAGAGAACCTTCGGATGGGGAGGAAGGGGAGAGCCTGCACAGGGCCACTGGGATGAGGGGGGGATGGGAGACTGAGGAAAACTAGCAGAGACAGATGCGCGTGCAAGGGCAGGCTCAGACTGCAGCGTGCTACCAGGCGGCTCCCAGAGGCCCTCCTCGCGCACATGTAGTACACCACGTGGCTGATCCTGTCCATTATCCCCATGCATATGATCTCGATGAGTCGACCCCTAGCGGGGCCGCGTGCTGTGGGACACCCTCGGCAACATGTCGAGCACGGCCTGGTCGTTCACGTTCCATTCGCGGAAGCTCTCTAGGACGGGGTCGCACTGGTAGCCAGTCTCGGCGGAGCCCTTGATCCAGAAGAGCTCGTATACGTCGTCGGGTGACGAAAGGTGGATGAGGCCCTGGTAGCCGTTGACCCCAAGCTTGTAGGTGTGCGTGGATCTCCCTCCTGCTTTGATGAGATCCAATGTCTGCTGCCATATCATGCTGGCAGCGCGTTGACGTTCACGAACGTCGACGGGGAGGTCGCCTCTGACACGGATGATGCTGGGCCTCTGGTTCCGCGGGTCGGCCCACGAGCTGTCAAGCCCGCTGCATAGGTCGGCGAAGGCGTCGGCGTTCTCCTCCGTACTGAATTCGACAGAGTAAGATTTAGCATGACTAGCGATCTTGAGAGAGGCGTCGGCAACATCAAGACGGCCTGCCAAGGTCGCTTGGGGTCCCAAGCATCCGGAGGCTTGCCGTTCTGGACTGCTCGTTCCATCTTCGCCCGTAGCTGGTCCCACCGCTCCTCCATGTTGTGGGACACCACAGTGTAGATGGTTCCCCAATCCCTCGGGAACAGCGTAGCAAGCTGTCGGACCCCTTCCAGGTAGCTGTCCACCGGGCCCGCCTTCGTGAAGTCGAGTTTCAAGGCGGCGGTCCGGAACACCTGCCACGACTTGCGGAAGCCCTCGAAGTTGGAGGGGCCGAGGATCTTCCGCTTGATGTACTCCCCGTTGACGAAGACGTCGGAGTTGAAGTAGAGGAGCTTTTGGATGCGCTTGCCGAAGGGCTGAAGGGCCCCCAGACGGCGAAGTCCACCCAAGGGGACTCGTCCAAGCCAAGCTTCGCCGCCAAGGCGGACAGCTGGAGGGCACTACAATCCTCGTAGTCTCTGGGTGTTCCCCACTTGTCGTCGTAGGCCTCGCACAACGTCCGGACCTTCTCGGATGAGAGCTCCTGGAACGTGGTCCGACGGCCTTGCTCGATGACGGTGGAGAACTCGTGCATAGTGGGCGTGACCACCACTTGCTGCGGCGCCTGTTGCTGGGCAGGCGCCGCCGCCGGCGGTGCCTTCACGGCTTGGGCAGAACCTCCCCAAGCCTTCGGGGTCTGCCCCGCGAGCTCCGCCAGGCGTTGCAAGCCCCTGCGCACATGGCCGCGCTGCAAGGAGGAAAGTGGCCGGACCTCGCCCTCGTCGGTGACAGCGTTGCAGGTGCGCATCGCTGCAACGAGGTCCTCGTCAAACATATCGAAGATCTCCCCCAACGTAACCTCCTCCCAGACGCCCCCGATCTCTTGGACGAAGCCTCTGAACATCGACTCGTCCATGCCGAGGCTCCTAACGGCGGTGGCGATGTCGAGGCTCGGAGCCAGGGGTGATGAGGATCCCCCAGGGGCCGACAAGAGGATCCCTGCCGCGCTTCCCCCGGGGCCACCGTTCCCCAGGACACCAAGTGTTCCCTCGCTTCCTCCGCCAGTCGCGTGGGCGGTAGCCGCCAGCGCCTCGGCGGCCTCCATCGCTGGGGGAACCAGCGCCATGCCCACCCTCGATATGCGATGCTGCAGGGCCCGTGTTTCCCTCCAGCCAAATGGCGACGGAGGGCAAAGCTGCAGCACCGTTCTGCCTCCCACCGTTTCCCCACGCCCCTGTTACACACTACCTACGGTACAATGCCGACCATGGAGCTTCTGGGAGACCGTCCACGCTGGCGCTCACCTCGCGCGGATCACGGGGCCTGGCGGTTTGGCCGAAGGCCTTCGTATGGAGGGTCTGCTGAATAGAGGGGTTGGGACTCAGGACGGACAATGTCGGTACTGCAAGCGCGTGACGATCAACATGTCTCTGGTGCCCGTCGGCATGGAACATTACGTCCCCTTCCCAGTTCGCAAGGCAACCAACAGACGTGGGCACCACGAAGAGCTCGCCACAATACAGTTCTGCACCGTTGCGGGAGTACCCCCCCCTCGGAACAGGAGTTCGGCGGCGCGGAAGCCACCGTTTGTCTCCTCATGGTCGCCCTGGCTGGCGACGAGGTCGATGTTGCGCGCCGAATAATCCGCCTCTCGTGGGGCAAAAGCGCGGACGGGGCCAAACGGACCCACACGTCTCTCCACGAAAGCCACCCTACATTGTACACGACATGTGCTAAGTTGTCCTGCCGTTACAACGAAACCAATCCGAGCGTCGGCGGCGCCACTCGACCACTGGCGCCGTTTCAAGAACGTATTCGACCTCTTCCCCGCGGAAGACACAGCCCAAGACTGAGCGCACCCGCTCGCTGGTGCAGACCACGACCTGGCGCAGCACAGCACGCACACGCACACGCACACGCACACAAGCATGAGCGCCCGCAGCGTGCGTGGGCACACACATCACGATGACAGAGCACAACCTGGTGACAAGATGCACTCGAAGCTGTGGCCGTAGACGGCGATGTTGGCTCGATCCCAACAGGTGTTCCTGCGTTCGGGCTCTGGGGGCCGTTTCTGGGACCCGAGACGACTGAGGAAAACAAGTTCCCGATCCCCAAACCGCCGCTTGTCTGAGGACCCGAGGATCGGCCACAGATTTCGGGGCATGGTTTGCGTCCGTCGCTCCCCAAGCCAGGACCAGCCCCCAAATCTCCTTCCCCGGCATCGTAAGGGGTATGCGCGTTGCTTTGGCGCTCGCGTTTTCGGGATTGGTTGTGTCAGTTAGCGACGAGAAAACCCGCCCTGAAGAAGGGGCCGAAGCCTGGGGCCCACGGCTTGAAAAAGTCACAACAACGGCAGTGTGCGGGAAGAGGCTCCTCCACTCCTTATCCTTATAACTAGTTCTTCCCTGTCGCACCCCGAGGCCAATCGCAAGGGCGGGCCGGGCGTGTCGCCTCAGTCCTCCATACCACTTACGATCCTAAAGCTTAGAAGTTGGCAGCAGTTTCACAGATGGGGGAGGAGGAGGAGGAGGAGGAGGAGGAGGAGGAGGAGGAGGAGGAGGAGGAGGGGAAGGAGGAGGAGGAGAAGGAGGAGGAGGAGGAGGAGGAGGAGGAGGAGGAGGAGGAGGAGGGAGAGGAGGAGGGGGAGGGGGAGGGGGAGGGGGAGGGGGAAGGGGAGGGAGAGGAGGAGGAGGAGGAGGAGGAGGAGGAGGATGTGGGCTGCTTCCAAAATGTAGCTCGTGCCTGAGCGCCCAGCGCACTCGTCTCGAACAATTGCAACAGCTTCACGGATTCAGGGCGGGCGGTTTTCAAAATGTGGTCCTCGCATGAGCGCCGCCCACATTCGTTTTAGAAGTTTGCAGTTTGCACGAGCTTCACGGATTCAGGGCGGGCGGTTTTCGAAGTGTGGCTCTCGCCTTAGCGCTTCTTTCACTCTTCTTAAACAATGGCAAGAGCTTCGCGGGTTGAGGGCGATTCCTTTTCGAAACGTGGCTCTCGCGTTAGCGCCGCGCACGTCCGTCTTGAGTGATTCATTGTCAAGGCGCAACACTCACTATGCTCAGTGGAAAAAATCGTGTGAACCAAAATCTCCAGACAACCCCCAGGACAACCAGGACAACCCCTCCAAGACGCATGCCATAAGCGTCCCAACGTGTAATTGTGGCCGGCGCTCGAGCGGCAGCACAACACCCACTTCTGCGGTGAACAAACCTCCCTTCAGCAAACCTCCCCTTAGTGAAAACGGCCTGGGACCGAACCCGACGGACCTGGACCCGCAAAAATGACGGCCGCGACGCCCTCTCGCCAAAAACGGCCAATTCCTTAATCGACGTGTCAGGGTAGGAGATCTGTCCACCTCCGACCACTTAGGGACGTGGCCAGCGCCGAGGCGAGAGCACCACGCCTACCGATGGGGCACGCATGTGGCCTGCGCGAGGGCGACAGCACCTGTCCGAGACGGGGATGCGGCCAGAGCTCGGGCGCGAGCACCGTTCCCAATCACGGATGCTGCCGGCACTCGCGCGGCAACACCATACGTGCCCGATACAGGACTTGGCCGGCGTTCAGGCGACAGTACCGGTCCCAATCAGGGACGCACAGTCAACCCACACAATAAGGATGCCCGATAAGGATGCAAGGGCCTTGGACACCCATTTCGAAGCTTCTCGATCGGGGCGCGGCCGACGAAAGTGGCGAAGGATGGATCGAGGAGGCAAGGATGCAAGGGTACCCTTGGGAAGGTTGCCCATCCTTACTATATGGGTTGACTGTAGCCAGCGCGCAGTGTTGCGAGGATGTCTCAGGCGGAACTGGCCAGACCAGCTTTCGCGCGGCATCGCATAACCCAGAAGTGTGAAGATGCCCCGGGTGAAACTGCCTGGAAAACCTCCGGTCAGAGCACCTCTGAGTCCAGAACTGCGAGGACGTCTCAGGCGTAAATTGCCAGAAAACTTCGTGTTTGGTATCCTGGAGCCCCAAATCTGGAGGAAGTCTCATGCGAAACTGGCCAGACCACCTCAGGCCAGATTTTGTCGGAGCCCCGGAAGTCGCGAGGATACCTTCTGCAAAACCGCCTGGACAAACTCGTGCGCGGTATCTCGGAGCCCAGATTTGCGAGGATATCCCAGGCGAAACTACTGGACAACCTCGTACGCGGCATCTCGGAGCCTAGAGTTGCGACGTCGTCGCAGGTGAAGCTGGCTGGAACACCTCTCGCGCAGCATCTCTGAGCCCAGAGTTGCGAGGATGTCTCAGGCAAGCAAAATCGGCTGGATAACATGTGCGCGGCATGTCGCCGACGAGCCTGGCTGGACCACCGCAGATCAAATCATAAGAGCCCAGAGTTGCGAGGATATTTCAGGCGGAACTGGCTGGAGCACCTCGCATGCGCCATCTCTGAACCCAGAGCTGCGAGGACGTTTCAAACTTTCGAAACTGGCCGCACCAACTCTCGCGCGGTATTTGTCGATATTTCCGTAGGAACGGGCCGCACCACCTGTGGCCAGGGCGTATCGGAGCCCAGAGTTGCGAGGACGTCTCAAGCGACACCGGCTTGAAAACGTCGCGGACGGCATATGTGAGACCATTATTTCGAGGATGTATCATGCGACGCTGGCCAGGCCAATTCAGGTCATGGCATATCGGAGCTGCCACGATAGCTTAAGCATGACTGGCGGAACAACCTCAAGCGAGGAATGTCTCAGGCGGAAATTTCTAGACAATGTCACACGTAAAATCAAGGAGCCTAGCGTTGCGAGGATATCGCAGGCGGAACTTGCCAAACCACCTCTCGCGCGACCTCTCTGAGCCCAGAACTGCGTCGGACCGTGTGCGCCGTAGCGCGCGCGCGCCGCCGCCGCCGAGGGAACAGCCGCCGCCATCACCGTCATCGTCGTCGTGGTGGTCCGTCTCCTCTCCCTCCTCCATTCCATGTCCTTCTAAACAACTTCTCCCTGTCGCACCCCGAAGCCAGTTTTTAGGGCGGGCCATGCGTTTCGCCTGAGACTTCCTCACCACTTATGACCCTGAATATTCGAAAATGGCAACAGTTTCACGAATCGATAGCGGGTGGTTTTCAACATGTGGCTCTCGCTTCAGAGCCGCGCACATGCGTTTGAACAAAAAATCAAAAGACTCACGGATCGAATATTGGTTTTAAAAATGTGGTTTTCGCCCTAGCGCCGCGCACACTCGTTTCCAATAGTTACAAGAGCTCCACGGATTGAGGACGGGTGGTTTTCAAAATGTGGCTCTCGCCATATCGCCGCGCACATTCGTTTTCACAAGCTGCAAGACTTTCAGGGATTGAGGGCGGGTCGTGTTCAAAATGTGCTTCTCGCCTCAGCGTCGCGCACATTCGTTTTCGAAAACTGCAAAAGTTTCACGGATTGAGGGCGGCTCCTTTTCAACATGTGGCTCTCGCCCTAGCGCCGCGTACATTCGTCTTCAAAAATTGTAAGCGTTTCTCAGATTCACATGATCGGTGTACCGGAAACGGTGTTTTAGAAGGATTCACGATTATGAGGGCGCAGCAGTTACGATGATTCGCGGTGGTGGATTTTCATGAATGGCGTTCTGGCACGATTCAGGATCATCAAAACGCAACACTCAAGTTTATCCGTGGCCTTGGAACACCGAAAACATTGTTTTGGCATGCTTCAGGATCTTCAAACGGTTGTCTTCCCACGAGGCAATTACCTCGGTGGAAATGAACCGTTGCAGGGATCTATGATGAGGAAACAGGGAAGGAGGGTTTATCCCAACATCGTTGATGACTTTTGGGTTTCCACTGGTCCTCCTCCCCCTCATCCTCCAGCCCCTCCTCGCACTCCTTCCTCGTCTCCTTTTTCCGTCGGAGCTGAGCGGGACGGAAAAGACAAAAGGGAGGAGAGACATGAGGACAAAAGGAAGACGACGGGGAGGTCGTTGTGATGATTTGCATCGAGAGTGGACGCGGTGTGGCGGTCGCTGACAAGCTCCACGTGCTAGCGAAATCACATGCAGCGTGATCGTGGACCCTGTGGCTGCGGCCCCCGGATCCGTTCCCACGCGGGCGCGCCACTGTGACTGGTGAGGCGGCGGTCTCCAGATGGGCCCCCGTGAGAGGCAGCTCGCGCGCGGCTG